GCCGCCGGGCGGGAGCCGCCGGCGCGCACTGGCGGGGCCTGTGTCTCCCTGGCTCTCTGTTGCAGTGAGCGGCCGCGTCTCTGTTGGAACCGGCGGCGTTGCGTCTATACAGGGCGAAAGCCTTGAGGTTGGAGGTGGGACGAGCCCGGTGAAGTGGTTAGTGACCCCCGCGCCGACGCTTAAGCGCGCTAAGACGGGAGCTGTGAGGGGAAGCCGCGCGAGGAGCCCTCCCGGGGCCTCTTCCCTGTCCCCGCGCTTCAGAGTCAGTGTGACGATGCTCTCACGCCTGCTCTCTCTAGTTCTTCGATGCTGGCTGGCTTTCTTTTTATGTATCTTGTAATACTTTCCTTCCTGTAATCTTGCATCTAAAGGCAGACCACACCTCTACAGGTTTCTACGGTTAGAAAAGAAATGAAGGCCCAGTCTGTCTGTCTTTACTCTTACATAACCGAACGAATGTCATGGCTCAGTCTTAAAAATACTGCTCTTAAAGTTTACCTAAACATTGCAGGCGCGCGCTCCCCAGTTTCTTCCCACTCCGCCCCCAGGAAAGAGGGCTCAGGAGGAAGTTTTCATTCTTTGGGGTCGGGTAAACATAAAATCCAAAAGAATATGTTATCCTCCACCTTCCTATCCTAGAACGATGTGCGTGTTTGGGGCTTTTATTTTTGAAGTTAGCCTAGTAGTGGAAATTGGTGGAAGTGAATGAACGTGAAACCCTGAAAAGAAAACAAAAGCCCCAGGCGGCACGTTCAGGCAGTTTGAATAGTCACTAGGGGAAACGCAGAGGAACACTGGAAGGGTATGCTGGAGGGAATCTATTTGTGGCTTTTGGAAATTCATAATACATCCTTCGGTCAAATCAGAAGGGTGAGGAAAGAGATTGAAAGTAATGGCAAAGCGGGCCGAGGATGTAGCTCAGCAGCGCAGCGCCTGCCGAGTAAACGCTATAGGCCCTGTGTTGGATTCCTGGTGCCAAAAAAATTTTCTTTAAATAAAGTAATGGGATAGAAACCCAAAAAGACTAGATTTAAGATTGTTTTTAAGATAAATTTGGACCATGGACTTACTTGAACCTCTTTATTTTATTTTTTAGGATAGTGTACTGATTGTCCCAATGAAATTTTTAAGAGCTGCATAAAAATATTTGATGGTAGTTGTGTTTCTTGTTTAGGTAGATATAGGAAGAAATTTTCTCTATCCATTCATCTTTATTTCAGATTAACTTAAAAGTTGTTTTTTTTTTTTAATGTTTGGTTTGGTTTGTGGGTTGAATAATGGTAACGGATTCCTTTAGTTCCTTTTAATTTGGCATCTAGTGAAGGAAGACCTAGGTAATTATCACTTTACTTATTTAAGGAGGTATCATACAAGATTCCCACCTATTTTTTAAATTTGTTTAGGCATTAACAACTTATTTCATCGAAAAGGGCGTTTTTATTTTTTTGTCACTTCGTGTCATAAAAAATGTTTTTCCATGGGTGCTACCCAAGTATATTTCAGTGTAAATCAAATTAGCAGACTGGATAATACTTCTAGACTCACCTGTTTTTTAGGTTGAGGTCATTGTTTTGCTTGTAATTGGTTAAACAATTAGAAGAACGCTAGAAGCTTTCCTACAGACGACCTTGTTTCTTGAAGTGATCTAATATTAAGTGCATTTGCTTTTTTTAAAATAGTCATCTTGGGGCTGAGGATTTAGCTCAGCGGCACAGCGCCTGCCTGGCAAGCACAAGGTCTTGAGTTCGATTCCTGGTGCCGGAAAAAAACCAAAAAAATAAAATAATGATCTTTTTCTGCTGACCTTAATCCAGCATTTTATGTAACCCATAAGATGTATTTTTATGTAATACGACGTCTATGTTCTTGTGTTTCTATATAAAGATGTCTAAAGGTAACAACCTAGGCTCATAAAAGGATTTTAAAATACTATATGTTGGGTTGTTTCAGTAGATATGCTTCAAGCTTATTTTTACTAAAATTAAAACATTGACAGGTCAGTACTCAAATATAAGGGCTACAGAAGTGTTTGTGGAGATTGACAAACTAGTTTTGGTGTTTTTCCCTCTGTAGGAATTCTTTAGTGAGAGATTGCCTCTAATATATGAAGTTGGCACTTGAACTACAACATCATTTATCTACAGTATATAATGGAGTCTATGTGAATACCATCTCAGTAAGAAACAGTATTTAGAATTAGGTGGAAACATTTTAAAAGCTACGAAACATTGAAGAAACAGCATTATTAATAATGCCTCCGGGGCTGAGGATTTAGTTCAGCGGCACAGCGCCTGCCTGGCAAGCACAAGGTTGTGAGTTTGATTCCCAGTACCGGAAAAAAAATAATAATAATGCGTCCTTTTACAGCATTTTAGGATCTTATACCCCAATATCTTTGATACATTTTTTAACTTACAGCTCATGATAATCTTGCAATTTAGAAATTAAGTACTGAGACTCAGAAAACCATTCAGCCAGGAATCTGAGGCAAGTTCTAGTTCACACTATACTGTATGTTTTTGGGGGTGTGTTGTTTGTTCGTTTGTTTGTTTTTGTTTTTGTTTTTTCCCCCAGTACCGGGCATCGAATGCACCACCTTGCGCTGGCTTGCCAGGCAGGCGCTGTGCTGCTGAGCTAAATCCCCAGCCCCCTACTGTATGTATTTTTACTACTTTTGCAAAGAGTACAATGCCCTTGTGTCTCAGAGCCATTAATGGAATTTGCTAAAAGTAGTTCCGAAGCTAGTTTTTCCATTTTAATGTCTCATGTTAAAGAACTAGACTAAAAGAATTTAAGGGAAGAAAAGATAATTGGCTGAATTTTGTTTAGGTAAGATGAGTTGAAACGCAGTGTTTCAAGAGCTGGCTATAGCTAGGAATGTTTTTTATTTTGGCTGTGTGTTCTAAGCAGTTTGGAACACAGATCAAGTTTACAAATGCCGTAAGTGGAAGTGTCCTTTGGAGCTGGGGATAAATTGGGCACTTGCGTGGTTTGTGTGTTGTGTTCAGAAAGTAATTGTTGCCTGGTGTGGTGGTTCACACCTGTAATCCCAGTACTTGGGAGCTTGAGGCAGGAGGATTGCCCTAAGTTTGAGGCCAGCCTGGGCTATATATAATACAGCAAGTTCAAGGCCAGCCTAAACTACACAGTGAGACCCTGTCTGGAAGAAAAAAAGATTGCTTTGCTTAATACAGCTTCAGCTAAAATTAAGATTTTGATCTCAAAAAAATTCTAGTGCCTTTTGTATAAAAGATGAGGGATGTGGAGCATGGTGGTGCATATGTGTAATCCCAGCACTTTGGAGGCTCAAGCAAGAGGATCACTGCGAGTTGGAGGCCAGCCTGGGCTACATAGTGAGTTCAAGGCCTGGCTGAACTACAGCGCGAGACCCTGTCTCAAAAACCCAGGTAGAAAGACAGACAGATACATATGAAGAAGAATGGAAATTAAACTTTGTAATATGCTTTGTTGTGCTGCTGCTTCTTGTCTGCCTTGCAAGTCTTGTTGAGGCTTCTTGACTAGCTGGAATATTTTTAAAATACTTGAGTGGTAGTAGATGCTTGTAATCCCTGGCACTCAGGAAGGCTGAGGCAGGGGAAAGCACAAGTTTTCCATCTTGTACAATTTATTGACTCAGCAACACCCTGTCTCAAAATAAAAAATTGAAAAGTCTGGGGATGTAGCTCAGTGCAAAGGCTTCAAAGGTTCAAACTCCAGTACTACTCCCCCCAGCTCGCACAGAACTCCTAAAGGTACTCCCTCTCCTTAAGAGATGATTGGATGATACAAGAAAAGGAAAAGAGATTTATCAGTACTAATTTGGAACTGAAAGGTGTATGTTGTTAAAGAACAGAAGTGATATGGATCCAAGTGTGGTAGGGCACACCTATAATCCTAGAGGCTCAGCACTGTGGAGGCCAGCCTGAGCTCTATAATGAGTTCAAGATAAGCCTGGACTACATAGCATGACCCTGTTAAAAAAAAAAAAAAAAACAAAACAACAACAAAAAAAAGAATATGGGAGGATTTTTTTTCCCCACCTTCTCTGAAATTAGATTTGTTAATAATAAAAGTAATGACCAGAAGTGGTGGTGGCAAGTACCTATAATCCCAACACTCTAAGAGGATTGCAAATTTGAGTCTGTCCTGGGCATCTTAGTGTTGAGTCCTCGACTCAAAACAAATTTTAAGGGGGCTAGGGATGTAGTTCAGTGTGATGACCCTGAATTCAACACGCCCCCCAGTACTGCAAAAAGAAAAAAGGCTTGGTAAATTGACCAGTTTTTTCTTTAAACTGGGGTTTAAATATTTGTGTAAAACTTTTAATATGAATGATGTCATAAGACTAGGCTTTAAAAACATGGTCACCCTCAGTTTGGTTTTATACATCATTAAATCAACCTATTATATGGGTAAAGCTTTCCTTTCTTGGAGTAGGGATAGCATTAAACCTGAGTATTACCTTGGGTTCAGTTTATTTTCCTAAAGTTGAATACTGTCATTTATCCAATTTTAAAATTGTTCTTTCTCCCTCACTCATTCAAGG